TATATATATTACTTACGGCCGATGTCTGATAGCATAGATAACGTTGTTGCTTCTCTAAGAAATATATAAATATATTATTATTTTTGGCAGAATATACAGGTCTTTTGAAAGGGTGTCAGTGGTAAAATATTTTTTTTTTCTGAAACTAACCAGCCAAACCTTGACCCACTGGACTGAATGAACTCTGCTCAAAACAAACAAAAACAGGGCTGTATTTCCCTAGCATTGGGCCAACACAGAATCTGTGCAATGTTTTTACATTTTCTTAGCTTATTGTGGGGGAAAAAATCTGTGAAATTCTGCAGAATGGATTTAAATGTTAAAAGTTGCTGAGAGTACTACACTCATTTTGGTAACTGAAAGCATTATTAAATTATTAATGTTCGATAAATATTTAATGTCTGCTAAATATTAAATGATTTATTAAGCAAACATGCAAAATCCAGGGATGTACTGTAGACAACTTTTTGAATGATGGATGTTTGAATTCCTTGGAAGCCTGCAGAGGTTTCAGTTAAATTCTGCAGGGTCGGATTCTGTGAAGGTCTACTAATCAACATAAAAACACAATGTTATGTGTATGGTAGACCTACTGTACAGATACTACTGGGCATATAGTTGTGCACTAATGTATAATCGAGGGGTAGCATTTAAAAATGTTGTCAGCAAAAGTAATGCAATTTGTCAAGTTTCAAGCTGTGTCTGAGTCAGTCAAAGGATGTCTAAGATGATGAAAATCCAAGGATGTCTAAGATGAAAAGTAGAAATCTTTTTCTGAATTCTTGTTGGTTTTTATAATTTATTGAAAAACTTTTTTAATTAATTCATATTTTAAGTAATAATAATGCATATTTTTTTTCCATACACCATGAATACAGGGGTGTACTCATAAATTATTTTATAAAGTCAACATTTGTTTTAAGGTAAGTTTTTATTATTATTTTTAGCATGAGGTTTTCTGTATTCATATTAATCAAGACAATATAAACAACAACTTCATAAAAGACATATAATACAATATTAATTTTAAGGTTTATGCTACCTAATTATTACTTTAAAGGGATAGTTCATCCAAAAATGAAAATTCTGTCATTAATTACTCACCCTCATGTCGTTCCAAAGCCGTAAGAACTTTGTTCACCAAATCCGAGAGCTTTCTGACCCTCCATATACAGCAATGCAACTGACATGTTCAATGCCCAGAAAGGTAGTAAGTGTCACAGTCTTCAGCGGGTGTGCCCAGGAGGGCCACCAGATGACTGTGTTCTGTGAGCACATGGCTTGTGTTGTGTTTGTCTGTTGCCATGTGCTCTCTCCTGTCTATTGTCTTGCCCCTCCCATCTTGTTACCTCGTTATAGTTTAAGTTGCTCCACCTGTGTCTCCCTCGTTAGCCTCCTCGTTTGGTTTTCTATTTATTCTCCTGGTGTCTGTAATTCTGTGCTGATTTAACTTAATTGTTAATCTAAGTAAGAATGAAATCAAGAGTATTATTAAGAAAAGACTGAAGGAAAGGTGGCAAAAACAATGGGATAAGGAGAAAAAAGGTCGGTGGTTTTACAGAATTCAAAGGAAAGTCTTCGACGCTAACCCGTGTCAGTCTTCAACTAACCCTTTAATCACAACAAAAAATAAATACATTTTCAAAAGTTAAAAACACGATAATCAGAAGATGTGTATTCAAGTCATTCCATGAATGATTAGCATTTTAAATGCATTTTTGAATAGCGTAATAGATTGAGACAAAACAAATGAGTGTCTTGTCATTGACTTGTCTACCATACTTTGTGTTCCAGGTAACCCTCTGTTAATGAACTCCTCCATGCAGCCAGACCTGACCGTGTCACGGACCTACACCGGCCCCATCTGTTTCCCTGACTCCATGGAGAAGGAGCTCATCCCTGAACCTGCACTCTTCGACCCCCTTCCTGACCTCAAGGTCAAAGTTCACAGCTCCTTTATGGTCTCTCTGGGTGTGTCTGAGAGGGCAGAGTATCATGCGAAAGCGCCTTCCCAAACGTTTCCTCGCGGTGTGGTGCAGGAGATCGGAGGTGGTGGAGGCACGCTGGGGGGGAGAGGGAAGAGCCAGCTGGCTCCCGTCCAGCCAGCGCTAGTCTCCAGTATGATGACTGGCAAGCGACTGCTCAGGACCAGCGGGGTGTTCGGGCATGGCGGAGGACGACTGGTGGTGCCCAACGCAGGTGTGTGTAATGCATGCTGTAGAAAGATTAAAGAAGCGAGAGAGAATCAAACACACTACATGAAAATAAAGCAAACTGTAGTTAAATAAAGAATAGTTTCAGTCCGCAGCCCATCCAAAGAAAATCTGATGCCTATTTAGAATGTTAGATATTTAGCATGTAAGAACTGGCATTCAATTCAAATTAAATTGTTCATGTGCCGCAGGAAGTTGAATTAGATTTTGAAGTTTAAATTTGGAATGACTCGAAGAGGATTGTAATCAAGGAATTGTAATTCATAAATCAATTGTTGAAGGCGTACTGGGATTTAAATAAATAAAATAAAACATAAAAAATTTAAAATATAATACGATTAGAAAAATGGTAGTTTATATATATTCTAAAATCTAAAATATATAAAAAATGTAGTATATATATGTATATATATGTATATGTAACGGAGGCCAGTGATAGGTGCTGTGCAGGTAAACCTCACTCCCTTGATCTCAAGAGACGCACTAGCGACTGACACTAGTGGCTACAGTCTTTAGCCTCCTTGTTAGTGTGTCCACCTCCCTTGCCGGAGACCCGGGTTTGAGAACCACTTGGAGCGAAAGTGAGGTGTGGCGGAGAGGACCTGGGGGAGAGGGGTTACATTGGTGCCGTGACCCGGATGGGAGTGAGGTTTAGGGGGGTGAGTGTAACGGAGGCCAGCTGGTAAGAGCTGTGTGGGTTAACCTCACTCCCCTGATCTCAAGATGTACGTTAGAGGCTGTGGTCTTTAGCGTCCTTGTTAGTGCACCTGCCTCCCATGCCGGAAACGACGGTTTGATTCCCACTCGGAGCAGGTCAAGTAAAACCATAGGGGTTACATGCACGGTCTTTTAAGGGACAATAATGGTGAATGTTCACTATTACTATTACTATTATATTATTACGTTTTTTTTCCAGCACATGGGCAATATAATCATCACAGATACACGCGATTACAGTTGCAGAAATGCAAGCTTTCTTTCTGAATTTCCAAAGTAAAAATACAGTGTCATTTCAATAAATTAAAACCTGCCAGCCTATACAACAATAAATATGCATCCAAACTAGGGATGTGCCATATCATACCGTCCACGATAATACCTAGAATGTGCCATATCATACCGTCCACGATAATACCTAGAATGTGCCATATCATACCGTCCACGATAATACCTAGAATGTGCCATATCATACCGTCCACGATAATACCTAGAATGTGCCATATCATACCGTCCACGAATATCACCTAGTGGCGATACATTTTTACATGATAAAAAAGTGTCATATTGCGATATCATTGATATAGCGATGCGATGATGTATGGCGCATTTATGTTCCCTAGCGCGCACAACAACAACAACAACACCACAAACCCAATAAGTGTGTTCAACTTGAAGCAGGAGGCGCCTATCTTTAGCGAAGGTGCGCGGAGAGCCGCTTCTGGGACGCTTCAGAAACATGCCGCGGCGTGGCTGGTGTAAACACAAGCATTGTCTAGAGTGGCCGTGATCAGCTCCAGTGGCCACGTCAGAGCCGTAACGCGCCGCAGACGCGTGCAGTGTAAATAAGGGGTAAGTCACTCTCACGGTATTTTGACATCATTCGCCGATCGGTCTGCTTCAAGTCGAACACACAGCTGCCGCTGCCAAGATTTACACTTCAAATTAGGTAGTCTGTCATCGATGACAGTAGCTCATTGGAAAGGATGGAAAATGCCCTTCATTTTGTTTGCACTAATAAATGCTGCTGCCTGCCAGCTGCAATCACCAATAAAACGTTGTTCCATATTTTTTTCTATATCGTCATAAATATCATTATCACAAATATTCTTGAAATATTGTGATATAATTTTGA